TTGTCTCCTTTCAGAGTACCCGTCACGACCCGGCGTTCCCCGGGGCCAGACGACCTCCTCCCTAACCCTCTCCCACGCCCGAACACTCCCCGCACACTCCGCTCGCCGCCCGTCGCCGTCTAACCACTTCCCGCCACCTCTCCACAACCCCTCTCTTGATTGTCGTTGAACGACCTAGCGGCGCAGAGCGCCGCGACCTGTTGTCCCATGTTTTCGCCGCACCTTGTTACCTCGCGGCGAAGGTCACGCTTGACCTTCGTTGTCTTGAACACGTGCTCTTTGTTTGTTTTCCTCCTTCTTTTCTCCGCCCGCAATCTCCGCGAGATCTGGCGACTTATTTCCTATTCAGTTTCCTAGCGCTTATATACAGCTTGTAACTAGTGCTTGTACTGTAGTTCGAAATCAACTAGAATTACCCCTAGAGCTTACCTCTGTCCCCGCGAGACCTCTGACCTTCTAAGTATCGGGACCGCGTCGAGAACGAGGCGCAACGCTCCTCCTAGAGTCGTTGAAGCCGAAATCCCGGCTCACTCGCCTAAGTAGCCTCGGCCTCGAGATCGGTGGGGTTTATTCCTCGCTAAAGCTCGGTCGGGTGTAGGACGCCTTTACCACTAGCGGGCAACGCTCGGTCGCCTACGGCTACCCTCGGCGAACCTTCGCACGGTTCTGACAGTACCCTTGCTCCTTTTATCCCAGACCCCTCCTTATATACAATGTACATAGTAACTTGTAACCTGTAGGGAATGGATGTGTCATATCCGTGCATACCCGACCCCGACCCGACTTCCGGACCTCCCCCCTCTTCACCTCCGGAGTCATAACCTACCGCTGCCGTTCCGATACTCACCTTCGGTCTTGGCAACACACCCCTCCTCTTACCTCTCCGACCCTTCTCCGTCCGTTCCGATACTCACCTTCGGACCTGACTACTCTTCCTTACCTGTCCCCTCTCTCCTTCTTCCGTCACTCCTCCGCCACCCTTCCGCCAAGTTACGACCGTCCACCGCTGCTCCGTACTTCACACTCGGACACCGTTCGTACCTTACTCCGAGCCTCCGTCATAGTCCATACCTCGGACTTTGACTCCACCTCGGTCTTAGTCCATTGCATTGGAGACCTCATACTACGTAAACACCATTGCCAATATTCCTCGGACTTCCAACCCCGCCTCCGTAAGCTCCGCAACCCCCGAGCTTCGCGGACCGCCTCTGGCACTCTCGCCGTTTGTAATGTATTTCTCGCAATTCCCCCTCATCCCTATTTGGACTACTGCTTCTTTCTATTCTAGCCAGTTAGTCATCACCCCCACTTCCCCTCATCCTCCTGCCCCTCTGGGCCTCGCCCACTCTACCTCCTTTCGGACGTATCACAGGTCTTGCCCTATGACCTTCGGTACCGCTCCGCTCCCTCTACCCTTTGTTCCCGTTCGGACATCTTCGTTCCGATTCGGTCACCCTTTGTTCTCCTTGTGCTTTTGCCCCTTCCTTATATATATCGGCGCTTGTACATACTCGTACTGAAACCAGAGTATGTACAAGCGCCGATATATATAAGGAAGGGGCAAAAGCACAAGGAGAACAAAGGGTGACCGAATCGGAACGAAGATGTCCGAACGGGAACAAAGGGTAGAGGGAGCGGAGCGGTACCGAAGGTCATAGGGCAAGACCTGTGATACGTCCGAAAGGAGGTAGAGTGGGCGAGGCCCAGAGGGGCAGGAGGATGAGGGGAAGTGGGGGTGATGACTAACTGGCTAGAATAGAAAGAAGCAGTAGTCCAAATAGGGATGAGGGGGAATTGCGAGAAATACATTACAAACGGCGAGAGTGCCAGAGGCGGTCCGCGAAGCTCGGGGGTTGCGGAGCTTACGGAGGCGGGGTTGGAAGTCCGAGGAATATTGGCAATGGTGTTTACGTAGTATGAGGTCTCCAATGCAATGGACTAAGACCGAGGTGGAGTCAAAGTCCGAGGTATGGACTATGACGGAGGCTCGGAGTAAGGTACGAACGGTGTCCGAGTGTGAAGTACGGAGCAGCGGTGGACGGTCGTAACTTGGCGGAAGGGTGGCGGAGGAGTGACGGAAGAAGGAGAGAGGGGACAGGTAAGGAAGAGTAGTCAGGTCCGAAGGTGAGTATCGGAACGGACGGAGAAGGGTCGGAGAGGTAAGAGGAGGGGTGTGTTGCCAAGACCGAAGGTGAGTATCGGAACGGCAGCGGTAGGTTATGACTCCGGAGGTGAAGAGGGGGGAGGTCCGGAAGTCGGGTCGGGGTCGGGTATGCACGGATATGACAGGATGTGTGGTAATGCGTGCTGTGCACACTTTCTTTATTCATTGTTTATTACTCTTTATTTCTCGATGTAAACAATGTATATAAATTGTGGGGAAGGGTGAAACAGGTTTTCACTCTTCTCCTCCCCTGTTGAAATAAAGAGCCTAAATTCTGACAGCTTGAGGATAGCAGGAGTCACAACTAAGGTTGGAACCTCAACCGACTGTCAGGGCACACCCACCTGACCCAGCTCCACCCAGGCCCACCCGGGCCCACCTCACCCACTCCCCCATTACCCATCCTTCTCCCTCCTCCTTCTCCCTCCTCCTTCTTCCCCTTCTCTTTCTTCCCTCTTCTCTCTTTCCTCTTTCTCCTTTGTTTCATTCTCCCTCTCTGTTTATTCTTTCTATTTACACAGACCACTTTCCTTTGTATCATTGTACTGTTAACCCATCCAGCTCAGACACCCCAGACAACTTCCCACTATGCCTAGCACACACACCTGCAGCGGACACCCTCGGGATCCCCTGTTGGAATTTGCACGTGGTCTTTTAGGGAAACCTAAAAGTTGGACATACTGGGAATCAAACTCCAGTCTTCTGGATCGCGAACTCAGTGTGCACAGCCATTACACCATATGCCCTGATAGGCTGAGGTGGTTATTTCAACATCCCCCACAGGGACACCCGGATGGCTGCGGCTCTCTGAGGGTGACATGGCACCCATCATGTGACCCAAACTGCATGTACATAAATGCACCTGAAGTGGGAACTGAAGAAGTAACCTTCTTCTCACTTTTCCACTTCAGTCAAGTGGCCAAGGACTACAGTCCCAGATCAGGCCCATCAGCATGCACACCCGCTATGCTCCCCAAGAGGGTCCCTCTGCTGGGCGTTACATCCAGGCCCCCTCCACCCCGGACACATCCCTGACACCGACCCTGCATAACCTCAGTCCGAAATTGACTTGATTACCCCTAAGAGACTTCCCCTCTGCTAGATCTGAAATTAGGGACCCCCAGGACAACCAGCAATGGCACAGCACTCCACATGAGTCACTGAGGCCAAGGTCCTTCCATGTTACGGGGATGGGGGAAATTCCCCATTCCTCGATCCGTTCTTATAGTGGGAAGGTGAGAGTCATGTCTAGTTTGTACCATAACTGGAAGTGTAATCGATGAGTGGTCCCAGTCTGACCTGGGAGTGGGCGATCGAATTCCCATCGATCGCGATGGGTGATGTAGTGAGCTATTAAGGGATTGATGATTGATAGTCGGAGATATCAGGACAGAAGGGTCAGCCACGGATACTTGGCGCTCCTCAATGGAGCATACCGTGTGCGAGGTCGCGACTGGTGAGATGGGTGAGAGCCTTGCGTAGTTGCCATCGGGTACTTGGCGTTCGCAGTGCGAACGTACCGGTAGCGGGTTGATATCGTAGGCGTGCAATGAGGACTGACTATTAAGGCCTTCGGTGACTTGGCGTTCCCAAAGGGAACGTACCGTTGGCGGGGACATGTGATGACTGGCAAAGGAAGAAACAGACGGTGGATGGGCGGCTACTTGGCGTTCGCGTAGCGAACGTGCCGGCATCGAGGGTAAGTGGGCCTCATAGTGTTCACGATCACCCTGATCGTGATGGGACGTCGTATGTTGAGTACTGGGGGAGAGCGGAGTGATGAAGACCCATAGGGTACAGGTTCAATAGGACGATACACACGTCGAGAGTCTTCGACTCTTGACTTCGAGTTCTCGCGGTGAGGGCCGTTAGAGGACTCGATATAACCCGACTTATAAGACATAGTGAGAGTTGTACAGTCACACAGGTTCAGTTGAGTCACAGGGAGGGTTGTTACAGAAGATGGTACACGAGACAGTTGTAGAGCAGTTGTTAGTTAGCGGGAACCGCCTTCGGCGGTTTCCATACATGACGCGTGACTATCTACAAATGGTAAGGTCGCGGGAAATCCCGCGAAACACAAACAACCTCGGCCAGCACCAAAACCCCAATGGGGAAAGCTTTGCACGAGGGGGGGGAAAGGGGTAGAACGGGTAAGGAGGATAGGGTAGCGGGATAGAGGACGGAAAGGAGAAAGAGGGGAGGAGCGATAGAGAGGGGAAGTCTTTGACCATGCGACGGATATGGTCGTTGGAGACTCCGTATCCATAACATTCCATGCTAAGTCTCTGATTCCATTCCGGAGTTGTCCAAATCCGCCATATCTAACAATACACACCTTTGTATCACTTACAGTTCTGGTGTGCTGAGCAACCCCTGAGACCTCACAATACCCTTGCTCAATCCTGCAAAACTAACATGTTTTTCTCCATCACTGCTCAAGCTACTTTCTTTTGAATGGGTCTCCTCTGAATTGCTTCCTCACTTGTCACATAAAAGATCTAATTTCATGCATATTAGTGCAAACTCACTGCTCTCTCTCCTTATTGATGATCACACTGCAGAATCTGGCATTCACTGTCAGGCCAGGACTCACATGAAGGGTGGACAAGGCAATTCACAATAACAAATCACAAATAGAAAGCAAGCATCTCTCGGTGAGGCACTCTGCACCCCTAATACAGGAAGTGATTGTGTTGTCCTGCTTGGACCTCACATGGATCTTCGACACCCAACCTCAACAAGTAGCCGCATATGCTTACTCCAGTGATGGACCATTTACTAATAGAACCAGTTTCGGAGACAGCATAGGTGTGTATGGCAGGTGCCTGGCCAGTCAACCCTGCTGGGGAGATGAAACAGCTTGCTTACCAGTGTTCCACAATGCTGTCCAAATCCGTACTGAACCATCATCGCCCCCGGTGGCAAGCATAATGCGGTGCTCATTTGCATTGTTCCAGGCTACACTCGCTGGAGTTGTCCCCTGTTCACGAACATGTAGAGAGTGAAGCAACTTGGTTGTCCGGCGATCCCAGAAATGGACCTTCCCACCTAGAGGGAAAATGCTTGTCATCCTTTTGATCCATTTATGTTTGTCCAGTGCCCTCACTCATATCTGTCGAGAGTACGACCATATTCTCAACATCATGTCCAGCAAATTGACCAAGATAACCTGACCGTCCAAATCGAACTTTGGACGGGAGGTTGTAGGTGTGGAGGAGATCAAGATGAACGATGCCACCGATATTTCCGAGGCGGAAGAGTTGTGGAGATGTCTGTACCAAGCATGTGTTGAGTTGCCAGTTGATCTCATCACTTTTAACTCACTTTGTCTTCAAAACTGATCAACACTAGTGGCCCAGATACTTTAATATGGCGAACGTCGTGAAGCATTGGAATGTGTCTAGTGGAGGATCAGCAGGTGTTACCAGCATCCATAAAGAAATTGAATTACATCTCAATTTCTTCCGATTGCAGATTGAGCACTGAACGAGATCAGCCTCCAGGTGTCTTGGCAGGTGCTAGGAATGCCTTTACCAATAATGCGCTTCTCCAAATGATGTGAATCTGAGGGCTTTAGTTTCTGATCATCAGGCATTTGGCTCAGAGTTGCAACCCCCAAGAGTCTTGACTGATGGATCAGACCAAATCATAGCCGTTGATTTGATATCTACCTTAATTCATCCATCGTGACAGCAACGTCGTGAAGGACCAAAGGCCCCAAGCATGTTTCATAGGTACGTTGCACTTCGCCTTTGACAGACTGGGTGCAGTGCTCAGTCTGAGGTCCAATGTCCGGTCGTGAACCACCCACCAGTACCGTGAACTTTGTCTGTTCCACTACAATGAATTTGTCAGAGCCTCCCACCCAAGCCACAGAATGTATAAACCGAGGCCAGTGGATGGTCCGCTGCCAAACACCAGTCTGCTCGCGTCATTCACTAGTACATTCGCAATGTATGGATAGATACGGACCTCGCGTAACCAGGCTTTCACCCCAAACGGTGACTTCACGATGAGATACTGGCCATCTGGAGACCATAAGACTTGTCCAGGGGACCCTCCCGCATATTCCAACTTCTGGTGGACGGTGAAAATGGAGTCAACTCTCCAGATGATAGCGGTTTGGTCCCATGCGCAAGTAGCCACTAGTAACAACCGAAACTGAGCCAGAACGAGGAAGAGCCAGAGATTCACATACGGTATTCGCCATTAGGGCTGAACTGGATGTCTCGGACCAGGGCAGTGTGCATCCTCAGGTTCCCCGTGACTCGCAGAGATTTCAAAGCAGGAATTACAGCTCCCAAGTTGGATGGACTAGTTTCTGCGGGGGGAAGATTTATAACATCCACCGAGTGGTCACTCGAATCAGAGAGAGAGCCTCTGCCACGAAAGGGGTCCTGCCTTGGTGCTGGCGAGACGGGCAATGGGGTGCGTGGCGAGGAGACAGGACCCCCTTCCTCAGACGTCCTGGGGTGAATCCCAAATCCACGTAGTGTGTCATGGAACTTTTCGAATACCGGTTTGAGGAGAGGGAACAAACCAGGTTCATCAGAAGATCGTTCATATTGAAGCGATGTCGTAGGCAGGGAATGACGTTCTGTCTTGTCATCGGATCGATGAGCTCTCAAGCTCGATGATGCACGACTGGGAGTCCTCTCAACGGCATCTTTCTCGACATCCCGTTGGTGGGCATCAGCTATCGGAGAGTGCACCTCTGTTATAATGATCTCGTTCTGTCGGCTGTCTCTTGGCAAATTATGGCGTCGGAACAGGGTGATCAAAAGTCCCCATAAGAAAACAAGCGCCTTCCGGAATGGTTGTAGACAGTGATGCATGCTCGAGAGAAGGAAGCCTAAGAATGGTTGGCACATAGCTGCCAGATTGCCTTTTGTAAAAGTATCCTTCATTAAATCGTCGAGCCACTGAAGAAAACGACACATCACCACATTACTCAACCGTTAAAAAATGGGGATCGAACCTTTCTGCCGTTAGTCTTACCATATGCATAGCGCTCCCCCAAAAACCAGAAGCCGACCGTGAGAAGAGCAAAAGACGAGACTGATGTGCAAATAGTGATTACGACGGGGATAAACGGAGATATGTGGAAGTTGGAGAAGGTAAAACATATGAGCCCAGCCGAGAACGCAATGACGGACGCAATGAGGAAGCTCAGAGGCGTATGGGTTATCCAGATGGAGACCCACCAAGGGAGGCGTGCACGAGGCGAGCGGTAGACGGCAGAGCTATTTCAGCAGGATGAAGAGTGTAACCGATGAACCAGCCCCCAGAGTACTTCAAACAGCAATTTGCTCACCGCCAATGATAAGCAAGCTGGCTATTCATCGCACTCGCGAGGGAAAATACGAGTGAGATGATCCATAACAAGTTGACCGCTTCCTGAGTCCTTGTCTGAAAATTCTGACTAGAGAAGAAGCGGCATAAGACGAGTGATTTCCCAGAAAAGTAACCAGGTATCAGTACTAGCTAAACTGAATTGTTGTAGCAGTCACACTCGAAAACAAGGTGGCGACCGTGGACAAATTATGAAGGGCTGCAGTTGTGTGATGCTGGGTAAATTTGATAGTCGGGATACCTGCTCAGCCCATTGAGTTGCATCGTTGCAGCTGGGTCAGGGGACTTACCGAACTCGATGAAAACGGTAATGGCCGCCGAGACGCTGTCCAGATGCTCCCCAATTTCTGCTGAGATATCGTTAAGGTATAATCGAACAAACGGAGCGTGGTACTGCTCTGTGAGAAGCAAGGAAGTGAGTGGTCGGATAGAACGCCTCTTGATGACAGCTAACTTTCATATACTTTGAGGCAAGATCCCCAATACCTCAAATCTCTTTGGAAGAGCTTGACGGAAGTGTTGACAGCTTGGTCGGTGAACTTGGGAATCTCGTTCAAGCACGAGAGAAATATGTCTAAATTGTCTGCTAATAAACCCAACTGGGCGTGAGCTGTTTCCTGATCATCGGACAACACACTGAACCGGCGTTGTCCTCGTCCATACGCCCGAGATCGTCTATCCTCTGCAGCGTGAGCTTGGTCCTGATCGATATCCCCAAATAACTTATAGGCATTCTTCCGAAAGAGGCGCGACAAATGAGTTAGTAGGTCACGAAAATCGTCCGCTGCTAGTTGGAGCGCGGCTGAAGAACCGATCGCACCGAGGGCGTTGGTGAAGTTTTGAAGTTTTTTATCCAGTTTCGTCATTCTTCTATGGAACCCTGGGAGTGAGGACTTGTCAGAATCACGATTCTCGAACACGCTTACAATTCCAGAGTTTCCAATACCGCCAGTCCCTCCTTTCTCATCCATTCGTCATTGTCTAATAATCGAAACACCATATGAGAACGGAATTTTGGCCATTGGAGATTTGAGCCTACATCCTGCGCCTTGCTCATCAAGGTCTTCCTGACGAACTTCCGGGGACTCTTCAATCCCTTCTTCAAGTTGCAGACTCAATTGCCTTTTGTGCATGACTACAATGGGATTGGGGCGCCGCCTAGGTGTGGTAGGTTGAGAGTGAGAGTTTCTTGTTGGTGTCGAAATGCGGGCAGTAGTCGAAACACCAGGCCTGAGCCGATGTTCAGAAGGGGATGTAGGAGACACAGGACCAGTGTGAACGATGGTATCGCTCGTTTCTGCATGAACGCAGCGCGATGATCAGCCAACGCATTTCCTGGCTTCACGGCTTTGGACTCACGGTCAATGCTTGCGTCCATGTTGGTTTGTGAAGTCGACATCGCAAGCAAATTGAGGGGTTGTGAAGGTAACTGCAAAGCGAGTCATTGCTTTTGTAGCCATTCGCCTATCTTGGGAAAGCATGCTGAGTTCCTGTGTCATCTGGACAGACACGTGTTTAGCCACGAACCAAGACTATATAATTCTTATTGAAGTTATTCGGCTTCGACAACATAGAGTAAGTACTTTGAAAAACCACGCTGTCAGAGGAAGCGGGGGAAGAAGCAAGCGCCCTTTTCCAGACACCGCCGTAAAGCGTATATAATTGATCGAGGCCTGGCATCGTAGAGTAGCTCTACATATTGCTGCGAAGTCATAGAGACTGGAGCCCTGCCTTTGAGAGCATGCAACATATTGTTCTCACATAGTTCATTTGGTATTCGAGATACCGGGCAGAACCAGAAGGCAGAGATTCATTCATAGTGCCAATTTCATAAACTCTGTCGAGCCCCCCAGGCATTGACGGCGGTGCTGCTGCTCCGACATACCTCTGACTTGTGGAGGCCGCACGGCAGGTTCTTGCAGTCCTTTCCTTTGGGTGAGGAGCGCGCGAGGCTGGACTAAATTTGATTCTCCAAATTTTATATTGCAATTCAGTACAAATCTCGGCTGTCAACGCAATGTCTTCAATCTCTGTGCTTGTTCAAAAGGATTATCTGCGGTGCTTTAAAAAGTGTAAACGCAGGGGTGGTGGACTGGCAAATCACTTGCGTCGGAGCGGTTCCTGTCAGCAAAAAAATACAGCGTGCCACTCGACAGCCTGAGGCTCAGCATGGTCAAGAACTCACCACCCTCGGTCTGACGGTAGCAACGGCAGGGCAGATAAGACATTGAGCAAACTCACTTTGGTGAAATGGATGAGTCTGACCCCCTGGACTCGGAGCCGACGCAACAGATGTTGGGTTGCCCTCAGCGAGAAACCCCGTACTAATTTAATCATGGGCATAGACCCTGGAAAAACCTTCCCAGATGAGGTCGAGATGCCAGACAAGCTGGCCAAAGATGCAGATGAAGGGCAGCCGCACGCGCCCTTTTTGAGTAGGCAGGAATGGGAAGTTTGTCATTGGCTCAGCATAGGAGGCCTGTCGCAAGATGCCATAGATAACTTTCTAAAACTGCAATGGGTACGTGAATCTGCGGATTGATTTAGACCAAAAAGTCGTTACCTTATATAATCAGGTTAACGAACATCCTCAGCAATGTACAAGTGCATGGAAGACATGGGTCCTTTTCCTTTTAAGTCAGAAGTAACCGGCCCCACAAAGCCCGCGAGGAAGTCAAGGAGAAGGAGATATACGTCGGCCACACCAAGACAGCCACGCGGAGAGATCTGAAGCGGGACCCCCCGGTCTTCGAATACATCCGTACCAAGTTCTACTTGCTTGCGATCACGGAGAATTTGTTTACATATAGAGTGCCGACTGTAAAGCAGTCGTTCAGAAGCTAGCTAATGATACATTCCGAAATTGCGTCATTTGAAATACCAGAGTCCGTGAATTATCTCCTTATATATTCCATGAATAAGTAGACGAATAAATTCGGCCAGCTCCGCTACAGGTGGAAACTCCATACGCAACAATCTAATACAGGAGACCACCAGCCTGCACCAAATCTAATCCATCAAAATTGGGAAGCCGAATATACAAGCTGGCTGCATCGTGAGTAGCGTGGGCATGATTGCGCGCGCATCAGCGATTCTGTCCAGCGAGCGCGTACATACTTAGGCAGGATCCCAACCTCTACTACTTAAAGCACAGCGCTCACATTGATTGAAAGCATGCGCAAAAAGTGCACATTGACGCAATTTGAGCGTGAGCATCCTAGACATGGGCAGCCTTCTTGAAGCCAACAATCAAGAGTGAGGTTGCTACGTAATCAATACAGTTGTCCATTCATTTTTTAGATTGAGCACCCTTCTACATATGTCGTGAATCGAAATCCGCCTCTGTCTCTGTTCATCTGCCATGACAGCAACGTCATGAAGGACCAAAGGCCTCGAGCCTCCATATTGAAAATTCAGCCTGGGTATTGGGAGAACATTCGGGTATCAAGCACCACCATAAGTATTCGCGACCGCTCTTCCTCCCAAGCTTACGCAGTTTTGGCCCCCCCAGACGCTTCGTTGGCCCGAAATTCAGCTGTCCAAACCGTCAAAGTACCTCCATGGCCACCAGTAGCAAACATAAGTCTGTCCGTGTTAACGTGACTCCAAGCTATCTTCGTCCGAGCCGCTCCTGGATCATGAATCTTAATGGAGTGCAGCAGGGTAGCGGATTTGCGGTCCCAGAAGTAAAGCAGGCCACCTATCCCATAAATGTTAGCATTCGATCGTTCAAAGTTTTCGGGAGTAAGCACCTTTATCAGCGCATAACACGACCATGTCCCCCAGCCCGGGATAATTGAAATGACAGAATTCGCCTGAACGAACAAATCTCACTGAATGAAGCGAGCTCGCAGTTGGCAAGCTGTAGGTATGCAATAGATCGAGTCTCGTTTGATGTTCGGTAATCTTCAGCCGGAAAAGCTGTGGTGATGCCTGTGCTCGGATCCACATTTGAACAACGATATGTTAAGAACAACCCGTCAAGCACATCGCACCTTGTCCTCGTAGCTGACTAACACGAGCGAGCCCTCGCTCGACAGCGTGATGTAACGGGCGTCATGAAGAACGGGTATTTGTCTGCAAGAATTTGCTTGAGAATTTCTCACCGCCGAACTTATCTCACGCTCACACTTCTGCATCCCCTGTTTCTAGATTATGCACTGAGAGAAACATTGTTACTTGAGTGTGATGGGAATGATCAGCGCTAACGTACCAAGAATTCGCTTTTCTAAATGCCCAGGGTTTGATGGTTTTAATCCGTCCGGCGATTGAGTCACTGACGCAACCGCTAGAAGCCTGGAGGACGATGATAATTCGGGAGCGTCAGGAGGTAGAATGCGCTACTCGCCTTTGCCCATCAGAAGTGACCGCCACGTCGTGTAGAAGCAGAGGATCAAGGCTCCATTCGGACTGCGGACTGTGCTGACAACCGCAATCGTGAACATGCTATATGCAATGTCAATCGCAGTAACAATCGAATTTAAGACCTTCACTTAACAATTGTACGCCAACTTGTCCGATTTGCTAAAATGAACGCACAGGATGTTGGCAACCAGCAGACTGCCCGGTAATCTCCCAGTTCCTTGCAAGTAGTGACCTCTCGCCAGCCCTCGCCCTGGGATATAGCACACAGTTGATAAAAGTTATGCAGGCTTGCTGATCACTTACATCCGCCATCCTGACTTCGACACCGTCTTGAGAAAATAAAAGAAGATATTTGCCGTCAGGGGACCACGTTACTTGGCTAACCATATCGCTGAAATGCGGGATTTTGCGATGGACGGATAACTTGTGGTCAACTTTCCAAATAATAATGGGATCTCCCCATGCACATGTCGCAACTGCGTAAAAATCACTCTTGTTGAATTCATGGCAGAACTAGGCCTCCATGACTCACGATAGTCCCCCTTGGGGCTAAATCTTAAATCTCTTATGAATCCCGTATGTTCTCGTGCTATCTGGGTGACGGACATCCCTTTGAGAGATGATGTAATGGCCATCAGTTGGGCGGAATCTCCACTCGGCACGTTAGCGGAGTGTGCTTCTGTAGTTGCATGTGGGATCTGGCCTATAACAAATTGGCCTGCCGGAGACGGTGAACCAGGAGGGGAGCCTACTGATGTCCCCAATGAACCAGACCTGGATGCATCTCCTATGGACACCAAGCGATGCGTGAAATCGAATGCCGTTGCAGCGATCTTCTCCATGCCTGATCTTAGTGGGCTTGGCTGGTGAGGGCTGGTTCCCCCAAGAGAGGGGGGGTCATCAGGCGACGGTGGAGTGTGAGGGTCTCCATTCAACGAGGAAGTGACAACCCCGTTAGAATGCAAAGGCAGGCTGCCTTCAGTTTCCCTCACACCGCGGCTTGCGCTTCTAGCACTCAAGGTAGAAATTACAGTTTCCGGTCTGGGAACGCCCATGGATTGAGTAACTCGTGAGATCTGCCGCTTGGCACAGTCAAGGGTGGGCCGCAATAGTACACCCAAGTTTCGGAAATATGTGGTAGCTGCTCGATACCCGGAATAACCCTTAACGTTTTCCACTGCGACCGGCACTACCTGAATGAGCCACTGCAGAAGGGGATTAGAGCCCCGCGATCCGCCCACAATATTTAGCCTTACCTTTTTCCCGTTGGTTCGTTTAAATGTACACCGCTCTCCAAAGAACCACAATCCAACTGAAAGAAGGGCAAACGAGGAGATAGACGTGCAAACTGTGATGACGATGGGAATCACTGGGTAATGGTGGAAATTCGAGAACGTGAAACAGACCAATCCAGCGGAGAAAGCAAGAACAGAAGCAACGAGGAACATGAGAGGCGAGTGCACGATCCATACGGAGATCAACAGTGGTAGGCATGCATGCGGGGACCGGTAAATTGCAGAGCTAAATCATCCATCCATTCACCGAGGCTGCACTCAAACAAGCTAGTAATCACTTACTGCCAGTGATATGCCAGCTGGCTATTGATGGCACTAGCTAGAGAGAAGACCAGAGACATAATCCATAACAAATTCACAGCATTTTGCGCCTTGGTGCCGAAGCTCTGATACGAGAATTGAATTGCTGTGGCATCAACCGCAGCGAACAGGGCCGCCACAGTGGAAAGATTTTGAAGGGTTTTAGTTGTTTGTGTTTGACTGAATTTTATAGTGGGTATCCCTGAAAACGGTTTGTTACACATCAGTTAAATTCTTGTTCTCGAAAGTGGATCACTTCACCAATGTCAACGAATACCTGGAGGGAATGCGACATGCTTTCGCAGTGCTCGCCTATCTCGGTAGCGAGATCATTGAGATATTGCCTTATATATGATCGTTTAAACTGGTCTATTCAATGTTGTTGAGTGAATCGCTGGGAACGGACATCAAACCTAACCTACCACCAGCCCGATGGTCCTTCAAACATGAGCTCCAGTACATCAGGTCATCGTGAAAAAGCGCCGTGGAAGCATTGACAGCTTGGTCAGTGAACTCCGGGATTTGATCCAGACATCGGACAAATGTAGTTAGGTTATGGGCCAACGAAGCCATTTGCTCCGGGATCGTAGCTGGAGAGTCCGCCTGAACCAAGGCGGAGCGTATAGTGCGTGTATAGTAGCGAGAAGCGAAACGCCTAAATTTTGGTATACTAGCCAGTTCCTTCTCTCCGCCCTCGAAGAGATGAGCCGCGTTAGAACGAAAAGATTGAAGGAGCCTCTGGAGACAATCGCGTAGTTCATCTGCCGAGGATGATATGGCGACGGACGAACCGAGTTGACCAACAGCATTTGTGAATGATTGTAGATTTGCGTCAAGCGTGTTCATTTTCCTGATGAATGGTACGTCAATTCGATAATGATCACCACCAATTGAATATCATATGAGAATATTCACCTTACGAACACCTTGAATGCAGCAGAACCCTCTCGCTGAAGGCTGTGATCTTTGTCTTGATGAAGGCAGCATCATTCGAATGAACATGAACGAAAACAAGAGTTAACTCACAGCCAGCTCCATGTTCAGAAGAGGTCCTAGCTGTAGCTTCTTCAACTTCTCTCACCTCCTGCGATGGCCGTTCATATATCCCAGGAAGGGCAGGGGGACGCCGCTTAGGTGCGGAATTTTGATGTCGTGTATCAGCTGAATGGTGACGCGCTCCTCTAAGTGTGTTGGCCGGAGAATTCGATTGCGACGCTACGAGACTCTCTTGGGACAGAGTCATACTTTGACCTTTAAAACATGAGGCTTAATATCAATGCGACTTCAAACGAGCCATCACTGACGATCAGAATGTGGTTCCATCCTGAGGGGGACGACTGATTGACAGATCACTGTTTACTTAATGATAATCGGGTTGGAGACTTTTGGGGGTACACGAGCAGGGCAGAAGACATACGTATTTAAATCCTCACACATAGCGCGCTGTCTATGAGGGAGAGATGGGACATCAATAAGCGAGGGTGCCTCGGCACCCCATGCAATGGCACGTCCATATCTAAATTGCGCTCCTCAGCTGATTCTGGCGCACAGATGTGGAAAGGAGGCATGACGAGAGACATCGCCCGAAGAAGCAGTATCTGTTCTAAGCAGTCGCGCTCAGGAAGAGTACGTAAACACGTTCCAGCCTCTATCGGGGGATCATTCTATTCCAATGGAGACTCCTGGGAGCCTGATCATCCAGGCGTTGCTTCAGGAATCGAGAGGTCGTAATCAAGCCCAACCCCGACCTCCCAGGCAATCAAACAATAGCGGACCTGAAGCTTCGGAATCGAATGAATAGCGCCCATGCATCTGAAATCGGGAGTACTTATTTACCACGTGCACGGCTACTTTCTTGCGCGCGCATCACCGCGCTGAAAATGCTATTCGCAGTGGATTATATGTTGAATTGTCCGAAGTGGAGTGTTACGGGCGCATTGACCTGGCCCCTTCGTTGCACGCGTTAATCTGCGTCTTTGCTCATGGGGATGAATCCTCTTGGAATCCTCCAGTTGTATGGTAGTTGTGTACCTACATATGTACAGTGGAGAGTGGGGATTCTCCGAAGAATTTTGAAATGAAGCGGGGAATTGCCACAGCCCAATTCCACGATTCTACTGCCCCCAGCGAGCACCCCACATCAAAGATCAGCCTACGTTCCTCCTACACATTTGCTATGTTTTTTTTTTCTTATGCCTTTTCCAGCCCCGAGAGCCAGTACATGGCAATTATTGAATAAGTATTCGATCTATGATCGTGTGATTCTATCCGAGTATTGTTTGATCACCTAACCACCGCACTCTTCATGTATATAGCTGACACTAGTTGGGGATGTTCCCTCCCCCCTGTCTCGATCATAACTAACTACATAGGTTATCGGAGTAACATTAGCGCTCACGCCCACATACCCTGACACTTTGGTATGCATACTTTCTTTGAAATGCTTTATGGTTTCCCAGTGGGACGACAAGCTTCCATTGCCAAAGCTCATTGATGAATTTGACTTCGACAGAGTGCCATGCAGAGATTCTAGACTGAAACACAACAACACCGGTAATGGCATTTCTTTCAAAAGCAAATACCGGAGAATACCTCCAGTTGATGTGTTTCCGAATGCAATTCTTTGCTGCCGTCCTCGAGTGCTCATATGTGAAAAGTATCTTTAACATTGTTGACAATATAGAGATAGACATGTCTGAGGATCTGGAAGAATTCCCTTCTTTTCCATGAGCTTGTGCTAATGACAAAGACCTACATGCATGGGATCGATTGGTTCATGACATGACCACATGCATCTTGAAGCGGGTTGATTTCTACCCGATGCAGGCAAGGTCGTCATCTAGGTCCTGTTGCGTACGATTGAGTAGATACCTTGCCAAACCTTCATACTTTATAAATGCAATACACCAAGCGTCGTCTCCGACCCTCTGCTCCGTGGCATAATGACTAGGAGAGATCAGTGCTGCTGGGCCTCCCCATCTATTCAACTGGCAACTCACCAAGATACATACACCTCCTACTAACTCCATGTGTTCATGTAGAACTTGTTCACATTGTTTTCCTCTACCCATTCATACATCTCTTGTGGATTGGGCGACGATGCTACCAAGATTCACCATTTCCTTCCGCTGCGGAGACCTCGAGATTAAGTCAAAGATGGAAGGAATTGTCCGGAATCACGTAAATGCCAGAGTCGAGAAAGGCCAAACGCATCGAACGCGACTTGGAAACCACGGTGGGCTTTCATTGTGCGAGCGGATTCACGAGAGAGTACATCAGATAGATGGCAGTCTTGCCTTTGAGGAGCGTGATTAGTCGCACTTGCGCCACAAGGATCCGGCGCGAACCCACGAACCTATCCCAAATGGTCCAAAAAGCAAAATTGGTCGGGGGAAACCGTCCCCAGCGACGGCTGATTGTCTCTGTTTCTCCACGAATATATGGAGTCCAGAGTATCCGTCCCGCACATGAAACCTCACCCCCCATGTACGTTTCGGCACGTTTGGGATCTTCGTTAGGTTGTAAAACAATGCCTCAGTGGGGTAGCATTCGTGACGTCCACTGTCTCAGATTCTTGGAATCCGACTTCGACATGCATCAAGGTCGGGTACGTGGGTTGAAGAGCGAGTAATGAGCCTCATTTCCGCAGAGATGGTTGGGGCCGCAGAGTGGTGGTTTTCAGACAGGAAAGACTGTTGGTGGGAGCACGGAACAAAGAGAAGTTCAATAAGGAGCCAGAAGCATGCCTGATTGAGAAGGACTACAGCAAAGAATTCGAGTGATTACCCTGGTATGCCAGTAGCCAAGCCGAACTAACGAAGCGACACAACTGACTGCGCTGTACTTTGGCTACCACATGAACCTGACTCCTACCCGAGGCTTTTCCAAAAACGTCGTTTACTTCTTCATCAGGATCCCTCATAGTGATGCTAACAGTCGCTCTATCACTGTAAGCGTTGAGCTTACATAAGCGACCCCGAACCGTATATAAAAGCTGAGACCTTTGTAGGTAGTAAGAGTAGAGATCTGTATTTACACCCCTATGTGTAAAATCGAATTCGACCCTTGGTTGAGCGACTTTCTGATTGCCTTAAGATTTCGTGAGTCTCCCAACCACCTGAACTCAATCGCCGGCCTCTGCCGACGTTAAGATCCACTCACGAGTCACAATCACTAAGCCTTCCATTGCCCATTTTCGTCAAATTATCGGGCTTCTTTGGACGAGCACAGCATTATGCGGACAAAAGGTTACCTTGTACGAGACAAGCCCGGTGGTATCATAATGGTCGCGCAGCAGGTTGTGCTGCGCATCAAGGAGTTCCCCCGACAATTTCAACACCTTTGAGATCTATAGAGAAAGGTCCTAAGGGGACGTTGTCGGGACAGATGACGAAGTATGTTATGTAGTGATTGCGGTTGGATGCGACGACGTTTCGGAGATCGCGACATGCATATGGTTGATCGGGAGGCAATATATTTAGAGCGCAACGTGGCCGAGCTCAGTCAATCAAACAGACAAGCGGACCTATCTAACAGCCTGCATACGAAACTTGAATAGCGCACTGGGGTAACTTGCCAAGCGCAACAACTAGTTTTTTGCGCGCGCATCAGTGCGCTGAAAATGTTATGTTGTTGGGCTTAGCCTCTGATATGATGCATACTTGTATCTACTTATATACTTATAGAAAAAAAGAGGAAATTGAATTGGTGTATTATTGGCTTTCAACGGGCGCCGATGTGGATCAACGCGTGCAACGAGGGAATCGGAGAAATCCTCTAGTATGGGGTAGTGATGCACAACAATGCATATAGGTACTTCGGAGCGGAGGGGGACGTTTTCGGGTTTCTCCGTCCAAATCTCGAAAGAAAAAAAAAACAGGATGTCCGCGCGGGGGAGCCCTTGCAAGCCGGATAGGATCGCAATGGTAGTAATAACGGTTGATGAACATCCAAGTCATGCATACATCACGCCATGGGGATGCCCAATAGGCCATCCAAGTCACTTGTACCCCCACACAGAAGATTGCGAATTCGTCGGGATCCGAGAAGATTAGACGGTAATCGTCGAGCCGCCATGAAAACAGATACTTCCCGCCTCCACGGAGATGGGGTGAGTGTTCGAAGTTAACGGTGAACGGGCAAAGAAGGGGACTCGAACACTCGTCCGCAACACACCAGTCCAGCTGTACCCAAAAGCCATCATTGATCAATGATGATTTCTCTTGTGAGTTTGTTTAAACGCGTCCAAATCGGTCGAAAGCTCCGCGAGAACTGCGGACCGTTTGATAAATGAAAATCCCGTTATCTCTGACGATGAGTAGTCCTCCTCTCCCTCCTCCTTCGAAGTGGATGGTTTAGCAGCATTACTGTACGCCGCCAAAGCACCAATGACGATGGCTGCATCACTTGGTGGTTGGATTATCATTATTGTCAATTTTATACCCGTGCGTTTTTTTTTTCACCATCATCAAGGGTTTGTAGGCGTGAGTATATATAAAAAAAAAGTTGCAACGTTGGCAGGAAGAAAGTTGGAAAAGAGCTGTCTGGGGACGCACTCTTTATGAACACGGACAAATGCCTGTATTTGATCGCATCCATACAAATACTCTGGACGTCCGAGGAAAAGGATGTCCACGGGGGTCATCGCACGAGATGTTCCGTAGACTTGGGCGAGTAGACGAACGAAGGCGTCTCGTAACGAGCGTTCATCGGGAACGATGTCGTGTTTGGTGTATACCCGCATTCGTATGTAGACATAGCCATACATAAGTATTCTCCTTTTGCGCGCGCGCAGCGGTGAGAGGGCTCCCTTGCGCAAAAATGTTAAAATGAAAAACGTTCCTCGAACAAACTGCGGGAATATAATTGGTTGGTGGTTGTGGCGATGCAGCAAATACATTTGGACCAAAAGTTCAACTCGTGTTGCCAAAACACACCCCCAAAGAGAAAAACAAAAACAGGGGCGGCTTCACGAAAATCGCCAACTGTGCTCTCCGCTCCGAGAAAGTTTGGGGGGGAATTTTCACGTAAAGAAGGTTGCTTTTCTCAAATAACATCCATCATCCCTGCCAATCCATCCATCCAGGGAAATAACGTGCTTTAACTGATGACTGATCGTTTGCACTTGGAAACTTTCAAGGTCCGTGAAACCATGCACGCGAACTTCTGATATGTAACTCACAAAGAAGAAGTCAGGTTCTTGTGCTTCTGCCAACCAAGTAATTTATCCGGGCGGTTTTGATATGATCTAAACCCTGGAACAGGTCTCTTTTCTCACTCCTCTCTTTCTTTCTTTCTTTTCTTTTCTTTTTGATCGGTGTCGTCCGCTCTATGCAAAACCCCATACACGTTACGTACGTACTCTGCGCGGAAGGCCAGGGGGAAAGCTCCGTTCTGACATTTTCTGACGCTTTTGACATTCCGATTCAGGTTCCTGAGAACAAGTCCCACGCTGATATCCGCAATCAGTTACTTGTATAATTACTTGATTTCTCTCACAGGAGGAGGTTAAGTAAGTATCTGTTTGTTGTTCAAAATCCCGTGGGGATGGCTCCGTGAAATCAATTCGCCGAACTCGGCTGATTCCATAATGGGTCTTACCTGTTTACAGTATACTCACGCGCCTACTTTCTTCTCTCTCTACTCTCTTCCCTTCTCCCCTTGACCCGTTATACATATATACCCATGACCATGACTTTTCGTGATTCCCTCCCTCTTCCCCTACCCTCTCTCCCCGCCCCAGCCTTCCGAAAATGCAACATTGCCGCTTCCATACCGCTCCTCCTCCACTGCGTCAAACGATCAAGACGTCCCCATCATGACTTTACCCTCCGAGTTACTGGCCGAGATCGCTAGCTATCTTCCATCCCGCCACTCCGTCGCTGGATACGTCGTCGACTCCACTGACCTAATAGCACTCTCCATGACCTCACGTTGGATACGTGTCGCTTGCGTTCCCATCTTATTTCGAGACGTACCCATCCTATCCGCAGGAGCATTATACGCATTACAATCCCTCCCTTCGCACTTGGTTGGGTACATCAAGTACGTATTCGACTTTAAGCAAACGCTCAGGCACCCGAAAACAATATTGTATTCTGACGAAACTCTCTTTCTTAAACAGGGAGTTGAATATCTTCCTCGACTCGCCATTTCTCGATGCTTTCAAAATTTGGTCCTCATCCCAATCGCAATACTGCACCTTCGGTTTCTCCCCATTCCTATCCCTTTCTCGCATTCTTTCCCGTACTCCCGAAATTCGAGCCCTCCGTATGCTCGTCGCCAAACCATCTGGATCAGATTCCGCATGGGCCCGGTGCCCACTTGGAAGAGCTCTAGGGATCTCGATGGATAGTGCTATGCAGTCTAGCCTCGCTCTTTCTTCTCAGACGGCATTCAAGCTCCGTTCCCTCAGAATCATTCAGTTGGATGGTTTCCAGGGTATAACGCCACTACTACAACTAGCACCCAATCTACAAGTGCTTCATTTACGCCTTACAGCTGGATTTGCCCATTCAGTCAACGATGAACTTGTCAATGCGGCTCGTTTGGTACCAGGGTTACGAGAACTGGTGTACACACCTGATTCATTGCGTACATCTTTCCCTTCAGCATTCAACGGAGCCGGGGGTGGTCACCCGGAGATGGGGATGGAGATGGATGAAACGAATATGAAATTTAATGCATCGTCGAGCGTAGGAATGTTAAAAGCGCTCGGAGAGACCCTACCGCATCTCAGAATCCTAGATTTACAAACACGATGGCACGGGAACGAGGTATTATTCTGCTCTAGCTCCGAGCCGATCGATCCCGAGGTGAGCAAACCAGCTGCATATGCAAAAAGCACTGCGTTGTTCATTTGAATTTTCAGGCTCTAATTGACGTGATCAAGTATCTTCCAAACCTTGAACATCTCTACCTACCTTCTTCCGTTCATCACCACAAAGATTACGCGATCCTTCGTACACCTTTCGTTCGGCCCACTTCACCCTCTCATACTCTAACGGCCATACAGGCCCGCGCAGAAGCTATCAATCGTGTTGGCCAGTCCGAAGCATATGTCATTCATCGAATCCAACAACAACAACAACAGCAGCAGTATACTACTGCTGCGCATGGAAGGATTCGGAGTATCGGATTTGTAAGGCATGCGTGTGCGGAGGATAGAATCGAGTATAGGGTCTCTTATGAACGTTTCTCAGTCTCAGAGCTCGGTGGTGGTGGGGATCCGACGATTCAGGTGAAGATTTCGGCGGCAGGGGAAGGTATTCATTGCGCACTTCCAACTCCAACTCCTCGAATATCGTCACTGTTGTCGCAGAGTATAGCGTCATTGTTTGCTATGCCTCCAGCACTTTGGACGACGACGACGACGCCGCCGCATTATTCGTCTGAATTTGCTTTGACGGGAATGGGCGATATGTGGGGAGGGAGACGGTCAGTTAATGGTGCGTTGGTGTCGTCACCTTCTTCCCTTGAAGATCCGATATGTGTAAGATGAGATCTGGGTGTGGGTTTAGGTTTAGGTTTAGGTTTAGGTGGGGGCCGATGAGTGTTGTATTCGGGTCTTGTTTTTCCTTTGATTTTTCTTTTTCTTTTTTTCCTTTTGGGATACCCTGGGCAATTTCGATTTCTCTTTCAGTTTTAGATGGGCACAATCGTATATATAACTTTGATTCTGTAACCACGACTTACGGCCCCCGCACACGGTAGCAATTGAAGATCCGATCGACTTGTATATTTGCTGATCAACCTTCCTCCCAGTAGGCTAAGTAACTGAGTTACCCACTGCGGAATGTGCGATGACGAACTTGACTTAAAGTAACCGAACTTCTAATTTTTAATGACGAGCCATATTATTCTTTTAGTCTGTGCATACCGTCCGGTTAACAAACCCAGTTGTCGAGCTAGCACGCACGCTCACGGTCATTATATACTGGACCGGCCGCCGGACATACGTCGTACTGCATGTACATGTACATAATATTTGGTGTACTATAATCGATCCGAACGCTCCGAAAAATTTTCACGATCATGATGTCGACGACGTCCCCTCCCCCGACGGTTGTATGAAAAGTGGCCGAAATGGATGAGAAACACCTTTCGGTCAATTTACGAGATTTTTTTTTTTCGCAAGGTGGAGGTTTGAGCGCTAAATTGAACAATATTGTTTTCGGATGTGAAATTCATGGAACCGGTACGTCATGGGAGCACCACCTCTCGAAGGCCGATGATGAACCGGCGTTGGAGGACCATACAGCACTAAGTGAGTAAATCGATAGGCAGGCGGGTGGTATACTTATACACAACTGGTGCACTTGAGCTTAGCGAAATATTGTACCACATGAGTCGACCACAACCGCAAAGAATGGACGCAAGGGTTGATCAGCTTGGCGATTTTACATGCCATCGACGGATACACGTGTATTGTAGACGCTTTTCGCAGGGAATCAGCAGCGAAAAGTTACCAGGTACGAAATGAAAAAAACCGTGGACGCGACGGCCCGAGAACCCAGTGAATTCATTCGAAAACATTCGAATTCGGCCGACAACCCGAAATGAAACGCGCCCTTCACTTGAGAGAGAGAGAAACTGAAAGCCAGGCATACATACGTTTCACGCATCGCGGTGCGGTAATTCGAAAATGAATGCTAAGAGTGTCACTTGGATCGACACCACAAGAAGGCTAATGATAATTACGATCCGTCCAGCAGTCACAAAAGGTCTACCAAATATCCGCCGTCCGTCCACTGGTACCGGGTCTCCTCCCCCTCCAGGGTCAGACGATCATCATCACCGGCACCATCCCCTCGTCCTCCGATGCTTCTATATTTATCGGAGAAGTCATGTCGAGAGTGCTTCCGCCGGACAACCGTTGTTAGAGCCAACAAGGCAGTAAGGATGCAATAAAGCAGACCAACTGGAAAGAACGCATTGGAATTCGATCAGGCGGTCAGAGTGGTAGCATCATAGCGGATCGGACACTTTTAACAAACAAACAAAACCTACTTCGGTAGAATCTTCGGTCGAAAAGTTTCAAAAAGACAATAGTATACCCAAGCGTGCCTAACGACGTTCTAGCGTATGCACCGTCAAAGGTCCTTTGTCTGGCGCGTAGCTCAACTAGGTGTGGGAGGGAGGGGGTTCCCTTGTCAGAGATAGGTGAAACTCGTTTGCGCGAAAGGGTTTTTTTTTTTACCTAGTTCTGCATTGTCGATCGGGTGATAAGACTCTCGACGATGTCCTCGGTATGTATGCCGTGATCCGCTTGGGACCGGTTTAGGCGATTCCATGGTGAGCGAGAAATTGCGGAACACGACCAGTCTAACGTGCTAGCGTCAAGGGTTGGAGAAAAACCAAAAAAGTGTGCGGAACATTGTGATCATGAGGCCATTCGGCCTGGGGCCTTATCGAGTGGCACAGCCACTTCCGAACTTTGAGAGACCAAAAAAAAACTCCCACGGACAAAAGTTGTCTGGGTGATGAACGTGCAGTTTGCATGTTACGGTGGTCTAAAGTCATGCCTTAGAGCATCCCCGAGTATGGTTAGGATAGGGAATATGTCCGTGAGATGTTTGCTTTCTCATTGTGACCTCACATTTATTCTTTGAGGAGGGTAGGGGTAGTAGAAGGTGGCATTCGACGTCAAAGGTACTTACCCTCCACAAGTGCTCGTAAATCTCAAAGCATCTGCTGAGTTAGGACAACTTCTACAGCCGGTCCGGGGTCTCCTTCTCGGCGTGTCTGCGGTTCGGACGACAGGAATGAAAGCATCTTCACCCAGTTCCTTCTCGCCCAATGTGACTGTTCGGAGTTTCAACTGGTGGGGATTGTGGGGAGCCAATACGAACCCATCATCTCCACCGATGGCCTCACATCCACCATCAACTGAGATGCCTACTACTACTATTACCCCATCGCACTCTTCCCCCGCTCCCGAAGGTGTTTCTGCTGTTGCCGAAGCAGCATCCTCTCCTTCCTCATCCTTAACGCCCGAGCCCATAATCCCGGCCACCACACAAGAAGCAGCATCAGCGGCATCTTCGAATCATGGAATGACTGAAACAATCATCCCTGCCGATCCTATCGCAACAGCTTCTCCTATTGATCAAGTCGTATTACCACCAGCTCTCTACACCGGCGACCACATTGGTGACCTAGCGAACCTTGGTCTCGTTCACTGGACTCCCGTAGGAGCAATTGAGGCATTATTAGAACAACTCCACGTTAACCTCGGACTTCCATGGTGGGCTGCTATCGTTACCCTTTCCATCCTAGGACGAGCCATCATAGCTCCCGTCCTCATTCGTTCACAAGTGAACAACGTTCGTCTCGCCAAAATCAAACCTGAATTAGAGATCATCATGAAGAAGCTTCAAGACGCAAAAGTTAAGGACGATAAACTTGCGATGCATAAACATTCTTTAGCGGCCAGGCAATTGTTTGCTGAAAATGATTGCAGTCCGTTTAGAAGTTTGGCTGCTCCGTTCGTACAGTTACCCATTGCACTTTCTTGCTTTCTGGCTATAAGAACGATGGGCGAACTTCCTCTTGAGAGTTTCAAGACTGGAGGTGCACTCTGGTTTACGAATTTAACGGTACCGGACCCGTTTTATATTTTACCTCTTGTCAGCACCGTTTCCATATATGGAATGATGGATGTGAGTTCATTGTCCTTCTTTCTCTCCATCTGAGTTCTTTATAATATTCGTGCGTGCAGGTTAATGCTCAGGATAGCGCCCAGACGGAGACGACTGGTCATATCACGAACTTGTTCAAGGCGTTGACCATCCTCTCATCCGGAATCATGGTGTTCTTCCCTTCGGTACGTTCCCTCCTAATATTATATTTTTACCCTCGCTTCATTTACCTCTTTTTCAATCATCATCATCACCATCGGATATTTTTTCTTTTACCATCACAGAGTATTCTACTCTTCATCGTCACCAATGGTGCCCTCATCGTCGGTCAATTCTTCATTTTTCGAATCCCATCAGTGAGAACTCGTTACGGTCTTCCTCCCGTCGGCCGCCGTGGCCTGATGGACCGCAAACCAACTCCATCCTTCATGGATAGCATTCATTTCATGAGGCGGAGATTTAGAGAGGAATTAGCGAAGCGAGAATTGGAGTACCAACGGCAGGTACAGTTGAAATCTCAACTGAGTGCTCAAAGCTTGAATTCGGCTCAGCCACGAGCTAAAAAGGTTGATCCTGTTCGGAAGTAGCAAAGATTTTATGTATATCTTTTTTTTCCCCCCCACAATCCTTACGACAGCTTATCACAAATGTTCATGAAAGAGATATATAAGGGGCTGGACGGACTCTTGTTCCCTGAGCCCGAGGATTCAGAAACGACCTTAGAGTGAGTGGTTGGACATGTTGAAATAACCACTCCAGCCTAACAAGGGTGTATGGTGTGGCTGTGCACAATTAAGTTCGCGATCCAGAGGGCTGGAGTTCAACTCCCAGTATGTCCAACTTTTAGGTTTCCCTAAAAGACCATGTGAACATGGTGGACAATACACTGAGTGAGGAATGTGTTTGGCCAACCAGGGGGCTCAGTTGTTCAGTCCGATAGCAGCTTGCATGCATCAGCAAAAGTCCGTTATGCTCCGGAGCATCAGGAGTGGCTGGAGCATGTGGGAGACAAAACAGCAGATTGGGCACTCCTGGAGCCAATAGTGTTCTCCTGGGAGGGGGTTCAGGAGTGGCTGGGAGTGGTGAGGAGTATGCAATGTGCCAGGAGCAGTGGGAGGAAAATTTTGGTCTCTAAAAAGTTGAAAAAAAAAATTTAGGGAAAAAAATCAAAAAAATTCAGGAACTATAGTGCCTTTAAAGTGCTTTCAGGACATATAATTATTTGCGAAATTGAGGAAGAAATGATGGAGAAAAATGGAAAATACTTTCGGAGACCCGAGAAGTAATGAGAACTGAATTGATGGGAAAGTCTGAAAATTGAATAGGAAAGTGAGGGGAAGCCTTGTAGCATTGTTATTTTCTGCTGTTGTGATTTTTCCTGATTGTTCTTGGTCTCACTCCCAGCTGCTCCTGGACCCTCCCAGGAGCTTTCAGGAGCTTCCAGGAGTATTGAGGAGTGTCACGGCCGTGCATTCCGGCCCATTCCCTGCCCATCCCAATGCCGCCTGAGCCTGTTACCACTATGCAAGCATGAGCACGAGCCCCGACCTCAGCCCTATCCTCCCTGAGGACTCCCTGCTCACTCCCCTGCTTGCCCCTAGGCTCCCCTGCACCTGGCCGACTCCCCCACAGCCACACCAACCTTCCCGCCCTGAGTCCACCTCCAGCACCGTGCCCAGCGTGACTCCTCTACCCCACCCACTTGGCCCCTACAGGGCCGCTATCATCCCCGTGCCTGACTCCGGTCCAACTCCGAGTCCGGTGCCACTACGATACCATCGCCGCTATCGCGGCCCTATGCTCCTTCCTTTATTTATCTGTTATTGTTTGTTTTGACCTTCGGTCATTGCCGGCCACTGTGCGGCCAACCCCGCTCTTTGTTCCTATTTGCTTCCGGACCCTTCGGCCTTCGGCCCGGGTCCGCTTCTATTCATTCTATCTTCATATATATATCCTGTATACTACATTATAGTACCTTAGCTCTAATATTGATTTGACCACGACCTCTAAGTCCTGACCCCAACAAGGCAACCCCAGTGAGTCTGAAATGAGGGCCAAGAGACAGCTAGGGGGCACAGCACTCCCTTTAGAGTTGCTGAGGCCAAATGCCCTACCCCCGGGCCTTGTTCGCGGCATCATGGCCATCGCGGCCTATAGCGGCCTGCAATGGCAACCCTCGGTGCCGACCCTGGACCAGTGTCTAACAAGGAGCGGCTGGGAATGAGACCAAGAAGAATCGGGAAAAATCACAACAGCAGAAAATAACAATGCTACAAGGCTTCCCCTCACTTTCCTATTCAATTTTCAGACTTTCCCATCAATTCAGTTCTCATTATTTCTTGGGTCCCCAAAAGTATTTTCCATTAGCTGCTCCTGGACCCTCCCAGGAGCTTCCAGGAGTATCCAGGAGTATCCAGGAGCAGCTGGGAGTGAGACCAAGAACAATCAGGAAAAATTAGAACAGCAGAAAATAACAATGCTACAAGGCTTCCCCTCACTTTCCCATTCAATTTTCAGACTTTCCCATCAATTCAGTTCTCATTATTTCTTGGGTCTCCGAAAGTATTTTCCATTTTTCTCCATCATTTCTTCCTCAATTTCGCAAATAATTATATATCCTGAAAGCACTTCAAAGGCACTACAGTTCCTATTTTTTTTTTGATTTTTTCCCTAATTATTTTTTCAACTTTTTAGAAGTCCCTATTTTTCAAATTTTCCTCATTTCCCTCTATATTCCCCCCTCATTCTCCCCCTCATTTCCCCCCTCATTTCCCCCCTCATTCTCCCCCATTTCCCCCTCCTCCATATTCTGCAAGTCCAAAAGTGATTAAGTTGCCAGATTAATCATATATCAGGCCATAAATTTTGACTGTGTATTGGTGAGTCTCAGTGTCCTTGATGTATAGTATAGTGTTTGATCTAAATGTTAAGTAGTGTCTTGTTGTGTTAGTCTTGTGGTAGGAGGTATTCATGGGGAGTCTTCCCTCTTTTTTTCATTTTTCAAATGCTCCAGGAGCTCCCAGAAGCTTCTCACCCCTATACATTTTGAAGCATTAAATTGTATTTACTGGATATGTTTGTGCACAAAGCAATGCTCCATGCCCTCCTGGGAGTGCCCTGGAGTACCTGACCAACTCTGGAGGAAATGAGCTGTTCCTGGACCGGCCAATCTCCTCCTGATTCTCCCAGTGCTCCCCATACTCCGGAGCACTCAGGAGCATAACAATTTTTTGCTGATGTGTGGTTTCAAAACCAGCTGGCTTCAGTATAGCCACATCAGCAAACTCGGAGCGTTCTCCTGGAGCTAAGGGAGCACAGGGAGGCATGAGAGTTCAGGAGGTCCTTGCCCCCTCTCGGAGCGGCAGGAGCAAGAGCTCCCCTAGCTCTGAGAGCCCTGGTCTCTCACGGCTCCTGTGAGATCTCGGTATAGTGCTCCCCAGGCTCCCATTCTCTTGTGGTAACTGGGTATAGCGCTCAACCCACTCCCATTCCGTCCCAGTTTCTGTCCATTTCCGAGTTGTTATACAAGCAAATCCAATTATATATTGCGAACTTTCAAAACATGTTCTACTAGTCAGAATCGCTCCATCTGCCAATGTTCCCACATGGCTTATCCGCAGCAGCAATAATGATACCATTTTTCTCCTCATACAGGTGCTCTTTGTCCAACACATGCCTATTGGAATAATTTTCATGAGTTCTCCAATATTGTCATATCCATCCCTGGCCATCGACTCCCGGTCCCTCCGATCCCTCCAGTCTAACTCTGCTCCTTCCTCACTAACCTCGGAGCTCCCGTATTCCGTAATCCTCTCGGTACCCCTCGATGGTCACCACCCCCTCTTTTCAATTTATTACCTATGCCTCCCTAAGTACGGAGCCCTGAAGACTTCCGGACAGCTCCGACGTCCGCTAGCGCACTCCCGCCTCCACTGGGCAATACACTTGCCTGCCCTGCAGAGCCCACCTGTCATATCTGTGCATACCCGACCCCGACCCGACTTCCGGACCTCCACCCTCTTCACCTCCGGAGTCATAACCTACCGCTGCCGTTCCGATACTCACCCTCGGTCCTGGCAACACACCTCCTCCTTACCTCCCCGACCCTATCTCCGTCCGCTCCGATACTCATCTCGGACCGAACACTGCCCCTCTCGCCACCCTCCTACTACTCCGCTCCCCCTTCACAACACCTCCACCCTCCCGTCATCCTCCTACGCTTCCCCCGTCTGCTCCGATACTCACCTTCGGACCTGACTACTCTTCTTTCCACCACTCCTTCCCCCTTACCTTTCCCCTCTCTCCTCCCTCTGCTACTCCTCCGCCACCCTTCTGCCAAGTTACGACCTTCCACCGCTGTTCCGTACTTCGCACTCGGACACCGCTCGTACCTTACTCCGAGCCTCCGTCATAGTCCCTACCTCGGACTTTGACTCCACCTTGGTCTTAGTCCATTGCATTGGTGACCTCATACTACGTAAACACCATTGCCAATATCCCTCGGACTTTCAACCCCGCCTCCGTAACCTCCGTAAGCTCCGCAACCCCCGAGCTTCACGGATCACCTTCGGCCCTCTCGCTGCTTGTAATGTATTTCTCGCGTTTTCCCCTCATCCCTATTTGGACTACTGCTTCTTTCTATTCTAGCCAGTTAGTCATCATCCCCACTTCCCCTCATCCTCCTGCCCCTCTGGGCCTTGCCCTCCCTACCTCCTTTCGGATGTATCACAGGTCCTGCCTTATGACCTTTGGTACCTCTCCGCTTCTTCTACCCTTTGTTCCCGTTCGGATGTCTTCGTTCCGATTCGGTTACCCTTTGTTCTCCTTGTGCTTTTGCCCCTTCCATTATATATATCGGCGCTTGTACATACTCGTTTTGGTTTAGTCCAAAATCGACCTGAAATGCCCCCAAGAGACTTCCTGCTCACCTACTGTGAAATTAAGGACCAAATGGACAAACAGCAATGGCACAGCGCTCCGCTTGAGTCGCTGAGGCCAAGGTCCCTCCATGCTAAGTCTCCGATTCCACTCCGGAGTCGTCCGTTTCTGCCCGGTTCTAACAGCACCTTCGGGCCTATCCCTCCTTTCCGTTTCTGGGTTATCGCCTGCCTTCCTGCTAACCCCACAACCCGACTCGTCGGTAATATTCAGTCGGCTAATGTTTAACCCCGTTAGCTCCGCTCCGTTCAGCTCCGCCAATTGCGGACCCGTCTCCGCTGTAACCATATATATATCCAACTTGTACATAGGTTACACTCCAGTAATAAAATCAACTAGAGTTACCCCCCTTCGGTTCTGATTGCCAGTCAGTAAGTTAGGGCACGGACGTGTCACTAGGCACAGCGCTCTTGGCATAAGTCGCTGAGGCCAAAGCCCTCCGCTATGGAGACTCTCCCTCGTCTCGAATCCGGTCTCTGACAGTATTTTATTACTCCCTGACTAGTACATGTCTTGTATGGCACCAAAAGTCCTTTGCACTCGTTCCCAACTACGCACATTAGTTCCCAACTCCGCTTCACCTTCCCCGGAACCCTTTCAGCCTGGCCCTAGTCGATTGGCGAGAAACCCAGTTGAGTTTCGAAGCTTT